AGACAGTCAGCCGGCAGACAAATTAAAATACTGAATTCATTATTAAGTGAATTTAAAAAAAACATTTAAAATTGATAGGCTTTAGAGTGACCGTTGCCGGTCAATGCATGATGTGCTAGCAGCAGTAGTCTACTTATCCTCTTACCTTCCAAGATTACCTTTCTGCAGCTAACAAAGACCCAAACTGACTGTTTCAGCACTCGCTGATATCCAAAACTTGAACTGGTGTGTAAGGATTAAAAAGTACTTCACTGCTAATGACGGAATCAATCAAACCTGACGGATATCTGAGTGCTGCATAACTGGTTGGCTCATTATCCCATTGCATGCCCCAAGTGCTATGCAATGGGCATTGAGAGAAGTTGATTAAGCTTTGAAATCGAGTTTGACTCGGCTCCTATAGCCGATGAGCTCGAGTTACATTGACCCCAAAGTCGTAGAACATATTGGGGTACAATAAAACTCACCGCATCGATAGGTTAACACTGCATAGGCGATTGCGAGCATTTCATACAGTTACACAAGTCGCAAGTCATTAAGGCAAGCTTTTCGAAAAAAGGAGGAACTCTGGTCATCTGACCTAAATGGCAAATAATTGGGATAAAAAAACCGTCAAAAATAGTATGTGTCCTACATGAAACACGGAGCTGTGAAGGTTATTCAACACGAAAATAACGATGACATTGCTGATATCATTCAAATATGCTCCATCAAAAAGGATGGATTTTGAGAATAGATGATTGACATTTTTGAAAACAATTTAAAACACGGCTGCTTGATGGTCAACACCTTCATTAAACTTCCTTCCTCCCGCACTACTACTAAATCAAAGCAACGAAAAAGATGATCGTACGCCCATTTAATTTGACCTCGCAAATTTTACATTTGAAATTATGTCGACTTTAGAAACTCGTTTTCCAAAAGGAAGGTCACAGAAAATTTAAAACAGACGAATTCCTATGGGTATATGGAGAATAAAGAGAAACCAAAAATCAGACTCTACACATTAACTGAATCGCTTTAAATGAGAAAAGCTGGGTCCCACAAAAAATCAGTTCGTCCAAATCCAAACCCACCTGCAAACCACTTCGTTACGCCTAGCATGAGCGATATAGAGTGGCACAACGCGAATGTAGAGGTTGAGCGGTGTGAGTGGTAATCGAAAGAGAGCCCTCATGACAAAGGGCCGGTCTCTGTTTACGAAAATGACTCGACGTCCAGTCTCATCAGCATAGAATTTGTAATCCTTCGCAGATCCTTTGCCATCAAAGTCAAGGCGAAAGTCGTACTGGCCTCGGAAGGGACGCCTTTGTGATAAAGAACAGGGAAGGTTAGGTGGCATGGTGGCTTGACAGGGCAGGTAAAAGTAGTAGCCTTCCATTTTTTAAGATCCATCTTCACCAATGATGTGACATGGCCAATCAACACTTTTATGTTTGGTAACAAAGCTATATATAGGAGCATAATCATGTAGCCCTTCCAGAGATAAAACTAACCACCACATGAGTAACAGCCATAGACTCATGATTAAAAGTTTTAAAAGGGAATTCCAACGTCAGGTATGCTCTGCAGATTGCTGAACCCACCAAGAACAAGGAAGGAAATGTCTTGAAAATTGAGTCTCACTTGTCAGTCCCACAACGGAGCAATAAAACAACAAACGAATAACTCAAACAATCTGAAAACTAACTAACGACGAGTCCTTCTCACGATTATTACC